GTGCTTTTGGTGTCATGTCCACGAAATCATTGCCAAGGCCAATGTCACGAAGCTTTTCCCCTGTTTTCTTCTAGGAGTTCTATAGTTTCAGGTCTCACATTTAAGTCTTCAATCCATTTTTTGTTGATTTTTTTGTGAATGGTGAAAGATAAGGGTCCAATTTTAATCTTTTGCATATGGATATCCAGTTTTCCCAGCACCATTTGTTGAAGATAAAAATCACAGGTCCTCTCAATAGATGCAGAAAAAGTGTTTGATAAGATTCAACACCCCAGCATGTTAAAAACTCAACAAACTAGGAATAGATGGAAATTAGTTCAACATAATAAGTGCCATACATGAAAAGCCCTACCCCTCACCCCCACAGTCAGGGCAAAGCTGGAGGCCAGGGCAGGGCTGCAGGGGCCTGGATGCCCATCTCCCTGGGCACACTGCCCGGTTCCCAATGTTCACATAACCACGAGTGACTCTGGTGTTTTCTCTTTTTGTTAATCTTTGTTCTTGGATTTTCCTGTGACAAGCACGCCATCCTGGAAAACTGAAGTATCCCCAGGGCCACTGGAAGGATGTCAGATGTATGACCAACTCTGGAAAGTGGAGGAATCCTGGAGCTAGGCTTTAACTGATCTTACAAATCATTCCTGCTGGATGAGAATCCAGTCCTCAAACACCCTCAGAGAAGGAGATAGAAAAATGCACGGAAGCTTCCATATTGGCTCCAGGGCCAGAAGTCCTGCTCCATGGCTGACCACTCATGTTTGGCCTCAGTGCGGCGGGAGCAGCCTTGCCATGCTGGATCTTCGAACGCTGCCGGCAGAGCCCGCTGTGCGATGCCCACCGCCCTAGGGGCCCCTGTGACGAGCTTGCTGGCTGGTGAGCCCTGCGGGCCTCCGTTTGCTCAGATGGAGAGCAGGTCTGGACCAGCCGCTTCTGAGTGAGCTGCCGGGAATGGTAAACAGCGTCATCTCGGTTGAGTGCTTCTCGCAGACCAAGTGGGGGAGACTGTAAAGACGGCTTTTGTACCTTAGCACTGAGGCTTCTCTCTCAGTCCTTTCAGGGTGCAGCGATGAAGGATCATAGACTGGTGACTTACAAACAACAGAAATTTGGTTTTCACAGTGCTGGAGGCAGAAGAGCGAGGTCAGGGTGCCAGTCTGGTCCGGTGCCGCTGAGGGTCATCTCCTTGTCTCCTCACACAGTGGACAGAGGGTGAGGGAGCTGTGGAGCCTCTTTTATAAGGGTGCTAATCTCACTCTCGAGGCTCCACCCTCATGACCTAATCACCTCCCCAATGCCTCACCTCCTAATGCCATCACGTTAGGGATTAGGATGTCGAACATGAATTTGGGGGGAAACACAAACATGCGCTCCATAGCAGGTGCAAGGTGGAGAAGCCCTGTGTTTGAAGCTTGCAGTCTGTGAGGAATGTCGTCTGCAATCATACTAGGGCAGCAAGCGGCAGGATCCTGCCTGGAGCGTCTAAGCCATGTGGCCACTTGACCCAGAGGGGCCTAGGTGTAAGCTTCAGGTTGGGGGCTCTGCACCAATACCTCACATCTGCTTTCACTTGTCATTCCCTAGGAAACGGGGCCCTGGTCAGCTCCTGAGTCCTGGTCCGAAGTGGACATCCTCACATGCAGCCCTTGGTGACTGACTCCATTTCGGTGTTGCCTAATTCCACATGTTTCCTCCACAGCCCACATGGCCCTGGCTCCTCCTCTGGGGGGACCTACCCACCCACCCACACTTCTGGTGACAGCGGCAGCTGCATCTGGTGGTCTCTAAGGGCTGGGTTTCATCACCATCCAATTTGTGTACTCGCAGTTCTTATTATTTAAGCAAGTAATTTTCAAAGAATTTTTTTTTTTTTTTAAAGCAAAGCCTCTAGTGCTTGGTTTCCTTCTTTTTTAAAGATTTTATTTTTTCCTTTTTCTCCCCAAAGCCCCCCGGTACATAGTTGTGTATTCTTCGTTGTGGGTTCTTCTAGTTGTGGCATGTAGGACGCTGCCTCAACGTGGTCTGATGAGCAGTGCCATGTCCGCGCCCAGGATTCGAACTAACGAAACACCGGGCTGCCTGCAGCGGAGCGCGTGAACTTAACCACTCGGCCACGGGGCCAGCCCCAATTTTCAAAGAATTTTAAGGGCAGAAGTCTTTCCTCTCAAGTGAACATATATGGAATTCCAACTTCTAAAATGCACGGAGGGCTTGTTCTCTGCAGCTGGGGAAAGTGCCCTCGAGGTGGGAAGTGACCTGGCCACACAGAGAGGGGCAGAGTTGAGGGTCATCTCCATTCAACCCTCTCTCACCAACCCCTTCTCAGGCTGCCGCTGTCCCCAGGGGAGGTAGGAATGGCGATGACGCGGCCCTCGATCTCCTCTGTTCAAACTGGCCCTACCACTTGCAGCTGGGCCTCCTTGGGCAGTTTCTCCTGTCCCGTGCCTCAGTTTCTTCATCTGTCAGCATCTGCCTCACAGGGTTGTTGTGAGGAGCAAATAAGTGGACGGAGTGAGGAGGTCAAGATTGCCTGGCCCCTGGCATAGGCCCAGCTTTGTAGGTCTCCTGGATTTAGCAACTAAGAAATAGTTGCTTGTATAGACATGGCCCAAGTGGAATGTTACTTGTTTATCTGAAATGTCACTTACCTGGGCATCCTGTGTTTGCTCTGGCAGCCCCACCCCTGGTGTGAGGTCCCCTCCCAGCCCTAAGCACGTCCTGCCCACCAGTCAGGCAGAGGGTGCAGGAGGGTTGGGGCTCCTCCTCCATCAGGACCAGGAGGGGGCCCAGGTCTGACATGCCCGGCCCTTCACCCAGGCCAAAATGGACAAGTGGACCTGAGGACAAAGCAGCCAATGAGATGGCTGGCCCAAAACGCCATCCAGTAGGGGCACTCACACTAGATGGTGTCAGGCCAGTGAGAGCCCTTCCAGGAGGTTCTGTTGAGCTGGCTTCTCCTGCACCCTCATGCCCACATGTCCTTGCAAACAAACCCCTCCTAATAATAACAGATACATTTAAGAGCCACACTCACGGCCCCTATTATGGGACACTCGCTGTTCTAGCCACTTTCCATGGCATTCCTATTTTACATCGCTGCGTAACAGCTCTGGAGTCCCCTGGCACAAGGCAGCAGCAACCTCATCGTGCTCAGGGATGTTGTGGGTCAGGAATTCATGTAGAACGCAGGGCTGGCTTGCCTCTGCTCCAGTTTCTGTGACGGGAGGGTGAGAACAGGAGAGAACTAAATTACTCCTCATAAGAAAGGGGAGCTGGAGCTCCGGGAGGACTAGCTGAAGGAGCAGGGAAGGTGGCAGAAAGAAGGAGCAGCCGCTCCCACAGGAGAGGAATTCTGCGGAGCAGCAGAGGGGTCCCAGCGGCCGGGAGGGCCGCTCCTGCTCCTGCTTCCCTCATCCCACCAGCAGTCTGCACTGCATGTCCGTGCGGGAGTCTGGCTGTAGGTCTCGGGGGAGAAGGAAGGAAACCAGCTCCACGAAGGAAGGGTGGCCCAAGGAGGCCAGGCCCATCTGGGCAACGTGAGCAGAGATGCAGTTCTCATGGGTGTGGGTGCTGAGGGGGGAAGGACGATGTTTGGCCGTTTTAAGCAAAGTAGAGAGGTACCCAGCCTTGGGCCAGACTCCCGGCTCTGCCGCTTGCTGGCTGGCAAATGCCCTTACCTCTCCGTTTCTTTGCCTGTGAGACGTGGATAATAATGATGTACCTCGTAGCTTCACTGTGGAGGTTAAATGAGGTCTATGGGTTGAGCCCCCAGGAGATGGCCCGGGAAGACCGTGGACCTGGGGCCCAGCATGAGCACCTGTGGGTGTTAGGAGCCGGGAGGACCTTTGTCAACACTGGGCAGGTGTCTCAACTCTTTTTGGGTCACCAAACCCTTTTGGACACCCACTGCCTCCAACTGTGTGGAGGCCGGCAGCCCTGTGAAGCCCTGGTGGATGTCCAGCCTCCTTCACTACACGGTTGTGAGGACCCAGCGGCTGGGACTTGGGGCAGGGCTCAAATCCCCATTTGCCACGTGGCCCGGACAGTTGTGCTGTGACCCAGCCGCCTCTTGTGTGGGGTGGGGAGCAGGTGCCCAGGAGCATCAGCTCCTAGAAGGCACTTCTCTGCTGCTCAGGGCACCCCGAGCCCGGCGTGCACGAGGGCCAGAGGCCAGGACTGGGGCCTTTTTGGGGCTCAGGTTCCCAAGTCCAGATCCGGGCCAGCAGTCCCCTTGGCCTCCCTTCTCTGCAGATATCCACATAGAAGGGTGGGGTGCCTGGTGCCACCTGCACTGAAGCCACTTTTTATGTCCCTGGGGGAGTCAGACTGAGGAGACCCCCCTGGCTTTGAGGAGCGGGGAGTGGGGAGGCTGAGTGGAGAGGGGTCTGGGTCCATCTGGCTCCAGACACGCTAACCATGGGCCCCTGGGCAGGCAGCGCCTCCCTGGGCTTCCACTTCTTTCCCTGTAGGAGGCAGGCGGCCAGCTTAGCACCTTCCAGGTGCCCAAGCCACTGGATAGCAGGGGCCCTGTAGCCACAGAAAGGAGCCACCAGGGGGCGCATGAGGCCAGCACGTGGCTCACTGCCCTGGCTGTGCCTGAGCACCACTCTGACCCCCACTGGCCCCTTCCCAGGGACCAAGCCCCAACCCTCCCACACACCTCATTTTTCCAGGGCCTGCTTCCCATTTGGGTCCCAGGCTGCCTGCCTCAAATGCTCAGCACACAGATCAGCCAAAAGAAAGCTCTGGAGCAAGTCATCCTGTAGGGGACGAGAGATTGTTCCCAAGTCACGAGAGAGCTTGCCTGGGGTTCTAGAGCGAGGATTCATCCAGGTACGGCTCATTCCTTCTCAAGTCTCCACCTCCAGGAGCCCGTCTCAGCCACCAGCCTGGGAGACAATGACCCTTTGCCCTGCCCCCATGGGGACCTCTCTCTCTGCCCCTCCTCACCCCTCTGGACCCTCTTTTCAGAATAAAAAGAAATCTCCAGCACCAAGCAGGGGTATCTGACAGCAATAAATTTATTAAGTATCCCCCCAAAATATAAACACAAACGAGTAAAAAAACAAAACAAACCACAAAACATCAGGCCTGGAATGGACGATAAAGCAGAGAGACAAATGAGAGACACAAAAACAGAGATGACCTATGATAGGAAGACAGAGCTGGGTAGACTCACATCGGGTGGGGATGCCCTAACAACCAGAGAACAAACACTCGGGAGCCCAGACTGATGTGACTGGAGCTGGTGGGGGCAAGGCGGGGGGCGGTGTCAGTGGCTACATGGCTCTGGGGGACAGACCTCTTGGCCCTGGCCACACCCCTCCAGCTGCTTCACTTGGGGCCCTGGGCCTCGGATTCCTCTTCATCATCTTCGTACATCTCGCCCTCCTCCTCAGCCGTGGCGTCCTGGTACTGCTGGTACTCGGACACCAGGTCGTTCATGTTGCTCTCGGCCTCAGTGAACTCCATCTCGTCCATGCCCTCGCCCGTGTACCAGTGCAGGAAGGCCTTGCGCCGGAACATGGCCGTGAACTGCTCCGAGATGCGCTTGAACAGCTCCTGGATGGCCGTGCTGTTGCCGATGAAGGTGGAGGACATCTTGAGCCCACGGGGCGGGATGTCGCACACGGCCACCTTCACGTTGTTGGGGATCCACTCCACGAAGTAGCTGCTGTTCTTGCTCTGGATGGCCAGCATCTGCTCATCCACCTCCTTCATGGACATGCGGCCGCGGAAGACGGTGGCCACGGTCAGGTAGCGGCCATGGCGGGGGTCGCAGGCAGCCATCATGTTCTTGGCATCAAACATCTGCTGGGTGAGCTCAGGCACCGTCAGGGCCCGGTACTGCTGGCTGCCCCGGGCAGTGAGTGGGGCGAAGCCGGGCATGAAGAAGTGCAGGCGGGGGAAGGGCACCATGTTCACGGCCAGCTTGCGGAGGTCGGCATTGAGCTGGCCGGGGAAGCGGAGGGAAGTGGTGACACCACTCATGGTGGCCGACACCAGGTGGTTGAGGTCCCCGTAGGTGGGCGTGGCCAGCTTGAGCGTGCGGAAGCAGATGTCGTAGAGGGCCTCGTTGTCGATGCAGTAGGTCTCGTCCGTGTTCTCCACCAGCTGGTGGATGGACAGCGTGGCGTTGTAGGGCTCCACCACTGTGTCCGACACCTTGGGTGAGGGCACCACACTGAAGGTGTTCATGATGCGGTCAGGGTACTCCTCGCGCACCTTGCTGATGAGCAGTGTGCCCATCCCGGATCCCGTGCCCCCGCCCAGAGAGTGGGTCAGCTGGAAGCCCTGCAGACAGTCGCAGTTCTCACACTCCTTCCGCACCACGTCCAGGACCGAGTCCACCAGCTCGGCACCCTCCGTGTAGTGGCCCTTGGCCCAGTTGTTGCCGGCCCCACTCTGACCTGTGTAGGGGGAGAGGATGGCGACATAGATGAGGCCAGATCTCCTGAGCCCACCCGAACATCCCATCCCAGAGGGCAACTGTGGAAGCCCTGTGCCTGTTTCCTCTCTATCCTCTATTTAGTGGGGACCCCCACACCTCACTGCCTCCACTGTCCTCCACAGCAGCCACGCTGCGTGTTGGGGACCCTGCTGCCGAGTGTCCTGTGTTAAGGGCTCTGAACAGGAATTGAGAACCTGGAATTACAGCTCCTTCTATGCCACCCAAGAGGGTCCTGGGGGAGTCTGTCAGCCTTCCCCTCCGGCCCACCCACCCTCTGGCTGGCTGTGCTGGAAGTGGAAACTATAACCCCCAGAATCCCTTGCAGCTCAGGGTCTGGAGGTGGATCGGTGCCCATCACTTGAGTGCTGACCTCTAGAAGGCAGAACTGGGGTGGGACCCTCTTCCTGTTGCTGTGCAAGCACCCAGGGCCCTGCCACCAGAGTCACAGGCATAAGTATCACCTGACACCACACCAATGCTGTGTCTGGACCTCTGGAGGCCCCAGCTTCTGTCCTATCAGCTCTCTGATGATCCTGTAAGCTTCAATCTCTGTTTTACACATTGTTCTGCTCGAAACACATGGGTGCTTCCTGTTCGCTGCACAGAGCCCATGCTCTGGGCCTCCACTGCCAGCTGCAAGCAGGGAGACCAGCCCTGCCCTGTGAGATCACGGCGGTGGGTGACTGTGCCCTTTTGTTTCTGTTGACCTGGGTTTGCCTGCAATGGGGTCCACCATCAGTGTGTGGGAAACTCACCGAAGATGAAGTTGTCAGGCCTGAAGAGGTGCCCAAAGGCCCCAGACCGGACGCTGTCCATGGTTCCAGGCTCCAGGTCCACCAGGATGGCCCGGGGCACATACTTGTGAGCTGAGGGGAGAGGGGCGGGTTATGGGGTCACAGAAACTCAGGGGCTCCTCCTGCCCTCTAAATCCTGTCCCGGCCTGCACGCCTCATGTGCTCACTCTAAGAGCTCAGACCGTGGGGTCAGAGGGGCTGGAACCTTGTGTGAAATAGGGAGCATGGTGGATACCACAGACAGCCAGGAACGAATCCCATGTCCATGCAGGCAGGTTTGCTATGGACAACAGTTGCTAGATAGCCCCTGCCCATGCCTCCCAAGTAACCCTGCTCTGGACCCTCCCATGGGCCTCCCGAGGGGCCTTCAGGACGCTGTCCATTCCCCTGGACTGTGCAGGTGTCTCATGGCCATTTGTCTCTCACTGGGAACTCCTGTCTTTATTCTGTGAGTCTCAAGTTACACCCTCCAGCCCGGTCCCAGCATCTCCGTCCTCCCCTACCACCACCCAGGGGGAGCCGGACGGGTGGGGCTCACAAGAGGCCTCGTTGTAGTAGACGCTGATGCGCTCCAGCTGCAGGTCCGAGTCCCCCACATAGTTGCCACTGGGGTCTATGCCGTGCTCATCGCTGATGACCTCCCAGAACTGCAGGAGGAAAGAGGGGTCAGCAGGCAGCTGTAACTGCCCCCCAGACCCTTTCCCTGTCTTGGCCTCATGACATTGGGTGTACGATTAGGGGCTTGGACACAAAGCCTGCACGAACCCCTTTGAGTGACTTTGCAAAAACCCTCCAAACTCTGTCATCTGTCAGAAAACCGTCATAATAAATATGCACGTCCACGGAGCCCTCAGGGTGGTTCAGGACTCAACTGGCACAGACCTGGGCCCCTGGACCCAGCTCCGCACTTCCTGATCAGGGACCTGGGACAGTCCACTCCTCCATGAGGGGGTTAGCAATAAACACCCTCTGGGAGTGGTTTTTATCATTCCTTCTTTTAGAAGGAATTCCTTTTAGAGGAAACTGAGGCACAGAGCTGCAGGAAACTGAGCCGCACACAGTAAGTGACAGACACAGAGTCCAGGATATGCATGCTGCAGTGTCAGAGGGGAGAGGATGTCCAGTGACAGAGTCCAGCACATCATCAGCCTCAGCCAACAGGGGCCAGAGTCACCTAACCTATCCATGCACATGCCCTACGCCCACACTCCCCCTGCCTGCTGCCACCTAACCTGCTCCCCAGTAGGTAGGAAGCCCAGAACTTCTCAAGCCTGCCCCCATTGACTGCCACCAGGCTGGAGAGCCAGAGCAGGACCTGGACTCAGGAGCCAGACCATCCCTTCCCAGCTGTGTGACCTTGGGCAGGTCCTGAAGATTCTCTGTGCCTCCTCTGTTCAATGGGCCTAACAATAACAGGTCATTATGGTGATAAAGCAAGTTAATCTGTGCAAAGCATGAGAATGGGTGTGGAGCCTGCAGAGCGAGGTGTGGAATTATCACCTTGGGTGAAGGGAAGGCTGCACAGAGCTGCCCTCACCCCAGAGGCACCTCCGGGCTGTCGTGGAGCACAGTTGGCCCACGCAGGCAGGAGGCCATTGGTCACACACTGGGTGACTTCCCAGGGCACTTCCCCTTTGCTCCTCAGGGTTGGGGTGACTTTCAGAAGATGAATGGGTGCGGAGGCCTCAAGAAATAATGGGCTTCTACATGTGAGTCCTGTGCTGGCAAAAGGCTGCGCAGTGAAAAAAGCAGTTAGAAGAGAGTTTGCACACACTTTTCTAGGTATCGATGCCTCTGACACAAAACTGCTCCAGGCAGCTGTGCCGGGAATGTGTCTGGGTCTGGGAGAGACTTCTTCTCACTGAGGACCCTTTGGTTCTTTTGGAATTCTTTGTCACATACACGTCAACTTCTCACAAAAAGTTAGTTAAAAACATATTTTAAAAGCTGAAAAGTATGGACAGCGTCATTACCATAAAACCCCTAGCAGAGTCCAGCAGCTCATCCAGAGACTGTCGTCAGGGTCACCTCTCAGGGAGGGGGTGACTGGACTCCCCTCTCTTGTGCATTTTTGTCATTGCTAAGTTTTCTTCTTTTTGCATTAGTGTGTCTTTATTTTGTAAATAGAAAAAATAAACACACAGGAATGTCACTGAGGCATTTGGGGCTCCCTCAGCCCTCCTCTGCCCAGAGGCTGTCTTGGTCCCCACAGCCGTGGGACACTCCAAACCTCTGGCTTCAGAGATACCCAAGCCCCTGGAGAGGAGGAGTGAGCTCGAGACAGCAACTGAGGGGCCAGGAGAGAGTGAGTACCATCAACACGTCTATGGAAAGTTCTCTGGAATGCATCTATGGAAAGTGTGGTCTTCCAGGAGTGGGTGCAGACCAGAGAGGGTGCAGATGCCAGCACTAGCCAGTGTGCACAGTGACTCCACCTCCCAGACCTCAGTGTTCTCATCTGTAAAGTGGACATGATAATGATCCCCACATGAAGTAGCCCAACACATAAAAGCACGAGCAGATCCTATTTAAGTTTGTAAAGCCATGTGCATGGATAACAAATAAAAATACAAGGTGACTTTTTGTTGTTGCTGACGAAGATTTGCCCTGGGCTAACATCTGTGCCAGCCTTCCTCTATTTCATATGTGGGTCGCTGCCACAGCACGGCTGATGAGTGTAGGTCCCTTCCCCGGGGTCCAAACGTGTGGATCCGGGACACTGAAGAGGAGTGCACCGAACTTAACCATTATGCCACAAAAGATAACTTTAAAAATCAATATACTTCGGAATACTGTGGCACAGTAAAAGAACATCACTCGTCTGAGTAGATCTTCAAGACAACTCCTTGAGGGCAGGGCACAAGGCGCCGGACAGTGTGAAGAAGGCGACCTCACAACGGATGCTGCACATGGACAGAAAGCTCGGAAAGAATGGAAAATGAAGCTCTCCTGACAGGAGAGGGGCTGCCGGGGGTGAGCCTCTTAAATAGACACTTTAGCCTTTATTGGTAATGTTCCAATTTTTTAGACTGAGAGTATATTAATAATCACTTTTGTAGTTAAAACTAATAAAAGTTGTAATTTAAAATAATAAGTATCGGGCCAGCCCCAGCGTCTAGTAGTTAAGTTCTTGCACTCTGCTTCAGTGGCCCAGGGTTTCGCAGGTTTGGATCCTGGGCGCAGACATGGGACCACTCATCAGACCATGCTGACTCGGCGTCCCACATGCCACAACTAGAAGGACCTACAACTAGAATACACAACTATGTACTGGGGTCTTTGGGGAGAAGAAAAAAAACAAAAGAGATTGGCAACAGATGTTGGCGCAGGTGCCAATCTTTAAAAAAAATACAATAAAAAAATAAATATCTTAGTAAAGTATATTATGTAACATTTAACAAATAATAAAATACAACTTCTCAAATTAAATAAGAAATAATTCTGGTCATCACTACAGATGAGAACACTGCCAGATGGTGCGTGCGCCCCAGGGTTCAGGCCCCATCTCCCCTCGCACGCCCTGGTGTGGGCTGGGTTTGTGGGGCGCCTCAGGCCCTGCACCCGTGGCCCTGTCCGTGGTGCTGACCCGTTGCCTGACGCACTCAGGGCCCGGGAGGCGGCGGGCGGGCACGAGGCAAGCGGGGTGCGGGCGGGGCGCCCCAGAGATGGGGCTGTCCGACCCATGGGCGTTAGGACCCTCCAGGACCCCAGGCCTTTCCGCATTCTGCACAGGGCTCACCGTGACCCATTTAGGAAGGGCTGGGGAGGGGGCGGTGCTAGGAAACCAGGAAATCCCTCTTCCCATTGGCTGTGGGTACAGTGTCCCGCCCTCCAAGGCCCCACCCAGCAGCAGAGAGGAAGGGGCACAGACAAAGGCTCCAGGGAGGCCCTGCCCCCTAAGGGAGGAGGGTGGGGTCCCTGGACTCATCCACCCCATTGTTGGGAGGTGAGGCGGGGGGAGGGTCCCGTCCATCCTGATGTATCCATAAACTCCTGCTCTGTCCCTCCCAGGCAGGGGCCTCAACTTCCCCGGGCATCGAGTTTTCTCATCCTTGGGGGAAGGGCAATATTCGTATCACCGCATTCCTACGAGGCAGTGCACCCGGCTCAGAGACCCATACAGGGTAGTCATCACGAAATGACGTCATGCTACCTCTCAGGAGAGCCCCGGATCGCCCTGACCTCCCTCCTTCCCCCAAGCCAGGCCCCACCCCAGGGCAGGCAGCAGCTAGTCATGCTGAGCCAGAGGCACCATTCAAGGACCCGCAGGCAGGAGAGCACCTCGTTGCCCACCCCAGTCAGCCGCGCTGTGATGGGCAGGAGAAGTTTGCTTTCCCCCCACCAGGGAGCCCACAAGCATAATGGGAACAGGAAACGAAAATGGCCAAGGAACTGCCAGTCCACAGGAAGGATGCTGAGCTCCTGGGCAGGCAAATCCCCCTACACCCCACACCCAACCTGGGGCCTGGCCTGGAGGCCTTAAGCACTTTCTTCCAGTTTGGTCCCTGGAGACTTTCCAGGGCAGGGAGGCCCAAAGGAAACCGTCTAACACTTCCATTGGTCACCACAGAGGGTGGCAGTGGGAAAGGAAGATCTTCCCCCCAAAATCCACCTCTTTCTTGTTTCAATTGTTAAAAAGAATCAGATATTAATTTTAAAAAACAAACATAAATCAAGAAAATTAACCAAAAAGGAATAAAAAGTAATGAGCAAACCCAAGGGCCACAGCACTGAGAAGCAGCAAAAAATCTCTGCAGAGGACACTGTCCAGCACCCGGCCCTGTCCCCGCCCACCGAGGCGGGTGTGGACCTGCCTTTGCCCATGTGTGCTAGGCCCAGCCATAGGAGGAGGGACACGATTGGATCATCACTCCCCCAGGCCCCCGCAGGAATCAGGGCTGCCCCCCTCCCCACAGTGACCCCTGACCCTCCGAGGAGCAGATGCTCAGGGCAGGGCTGGCCCCTGTGGCCACATTAACGAGCCCTTGGCCCCTCCTGCCTGGCCAGGGCAGCTGTGAGCAATTGCCCCAGGAGCCTTGATTTGATTTGAGACCATCCTCCACCAGGCCTACCCCTCCCCCAGGCCCCGGCCTCGGGCAGGCACAGCTGTCTCCTCGGGTGATTAGGGAGTTCTCCCCGCTTCCCTCCCACACTCCCTCCCATCCAGGCGCCTCCACCCTACAGTGAAGGTGCAATTTACATGTCAGCCACGTGGCTGCCCCAGCCCCGTTGTAATTAGCTTTTTGTTCTTGCCTGGTTTCCATGGCAACAGCCTCCAGAGGAAGCCATTCCTCGGCCCCTTCCCCTCCAGGACCTGTCTCCTCCCACCGCCTCCTTCGGAGCGCCAGCTAGACACTGTCCTGCGCCGGGTGCCTGGACTTGGTCCTGACAAAGCCACCCCCTCCATGCATTGTTCTGGGCAGCAGGCCCCACCCAGTCGGAGCCCCGCGCGGGGCGACCGCAGGGACCGAGCCAGCGCAGCGCGGCTCAGATTCGCACTTGCTTGTGACCTTGGGCAAGGGACAGCCACCCGGACTTGGGTACGTGACATTCGCTTCCTGGGTTCGGGTGGGGTTTACACCCCCTCCCTTTCCCGCCTGAGTCCCAACATCTGTGAGGTGGGCTAACAATGGAGGGGAGGGGCCGAGCGGCGATCCACCCCCGGTGCCAGGCTTTGTTCCCACGTCCAACCCCCAGACGCGGCGGTCCAGGGGTGGGCGCGGTCCAACCCCGCAGGGGGTTTGCCCAGGCGGGGCTGTGCTGAAGGAGGGTCCAGTCCTGGACCAAGGTCACCCCGAGTCCGGGCCCAACCCCTCCCCCAACAAAGGAATAGGGTGGGGCCAGGAAGCCGAGGGTTGTCAAAACGAGGTTGGGGGCATGAGGGCGGGTCTGGGGCATTGGAGGACATCCTGTTCGGGGGGTGGGAGAGGGAGGGCAGAGAGAATTATTATGGCTTTGAGGGGGGAGCCCCACCCAAACCTGCCCACCCCACCCATCTTGCTCAAGGCTAAGTTGCAGCCCCAAAGAAGAGGGCCACGCCCAGGCAGCGCCCCCACCTGCACCTGCTTTGGCCGGTGGAGGAGGGCTCAGCTGCGGATGGAGCTAAACCGCTGACTTGCGCTGCGCTCCGCAGACCCGAGGTAACCCCGGCAGGGCAAAGGAAAGGCGGGGCGGGAGAGGCAGGGCGGGGTCCCCGCCGTCCCGGCTGCCCGGCGCGGGGCCGGCTCGTTCCTTTGTTCTCAGCTTCTCTGCCGCAAGCGCGGCTCGGGGCGCACGGCGCCTCCCTGCTTTCCCTCCCTCTGGGGCTGGCTCGGGATGGACACGCGGGGTGCAGGGCCCGGCGCGTGGGGGCGGCGCGCAGCCTCACCTTGGCCCCGATCTGGTTGCCGCACTGGCCGGCCTGGATGTGCACGATCTCCCTCATGCTCGGTGCGGGTGGCTGGCGGCTGCGGGTAGCGCGCGGACGGGCCGAGGCTGGCTGCGGAGGGTCGGCTGCCCCAGCCGCCGGCTCTTATAGGCCGGGCCCCGCCCGCCGCCGGCCTGGCGTCACCGCGCGCGGCCAATCGGGGGTCGCCGCCGCAGAATGCGGCACCGGCCCTGCAGCATCAGCACCGCGCATCCCCGCCCGGCAGCGCGATGCGGCGCCTCCTCCCGCCGCCACCTCCCGCCGCCACCCGGTCTTGAGGGCCCCGCGGGCGGGGTCTGGGGGCCCCACGCACCCGAAAGGAGGGGCTAGCGGGCTCCAGGGAGGACAATAGTAGCCCCCTTGGCCCTCGAACCCGGCCCCGGCTGCCCTCTGGGGTCCCGCCCCTGCGGCAGCCCCACCCCGCGGCTTTGCAAGGAGGGTCTTTCTTCCCCACACCGGTTTAGGGGCCAACCCCATCTCCCACCCTGAAAGGCCAAGATGGACTCCTCCCAGCTCCCTGTCTGTAGCATGAACGGACAGATAAGGTACTCTGAGCTTTTCTGGATCCCTTAGGGGTGGGGGAGGCGGGAAGAGGCTGCAGCAGCCAGTGAACCCCCAGGAGAAAGCAAGTATGAGGCAGGGCGCAGAAACGTCTGAGTCAGAAGGGCTGTGGGCTCAGGAGGGCAGCGGAGATGACTGTGGCAGCTCTGAGTCTCGCTGTGCTCTGCAGTGGGGGTGCCACCTGCCCCTCCTTCCCCAGGGAGCTGCAGTGAGGCTCCACCTGGACCATGCATGTGGGGATGCTTTGTACCCTGCCAGGCACAGCACCTGGCCTGTAGCCACTGCTCAATGAATATTGTGTCAGGAATTGTCATAAGGACACAAGGGAGGCCAGGGGCCGAGGGGGTGGGGGATGGTGGGCAGTGGTTTCTGTCTGACTCACTTTCTGACATCGGTACCTCTGGATTCTTGGTCCACATGAGGCCAACACAACGCGGTGTGGGGGTTTCTATGTAGTAGGGAGATGGTGTGCACCTAAGGCAGGGGTTCTTGAGGAAAAACTGGGAAAGAGAGAGGGGATGGAGTGAAGTGGACCTGCAGTACAGACATTGTGCCACATGCACATATACCACTGGCTTAATATTCTCCTGGCGTTAGACGTTAATGTGAAACCACCTTATAATAAGGTCTTTCTGATAATTCAGTAACAAAATCTTCCATGAAGGGTCTCAGCCACAGTATATGGACGTTAGACAAGCAGTCAGCTGAACAAGCCCATGGGCGTGCCTGTGTCCAGTCTGTGTGCTCAGGAGCCTGTTGGCGTGGTGTGACTGTGTTTGTGCCCCTCTCCCCGCTCCCCCCGGAGCTCCCCAGTTTGGCAAGTCTAGAAATGGGTCTTTTGTTCTCAAGAGATGCCCCTCCCCCACAATGTGTCCATGATGTGGCTTTCTGTGGCTGGCTTCTGGCCACCTGGGGCCCCTCCCTGTCCCCATTCAGGGGGTCCTTGGTGAGCATTTGGCTCTTCCCTGGATCTGGCTGCACCTCCCTGTCTGAGCAAAGAAGCTTTGCAGCATCTTGTCAGCCAGGACCCATCACCAGCCTGCCTCCCTGCGGGATGGCACGGGGCCAGGCCCCCTCCATCCCCAGAGGGCTCTGGTGCTGGGCTCAAGGCTGACTCACCGTCCTGTCTCCCAGCAAAGGCTGGCCCTGCCGGGAACCAGCTCCCGGCCCAGAGGCCAGCAGTCAGGGCTGGAGCTGCCAGCATGGGTGGAGTGGGGCCTGGCTGAGGCAGAGCTGGGGCTGGCTGCAGGGGGCTGCAGGCATTACTAGACCTGCCTCGGAGTTGGCTGACACCACCGCTTTTGCCTCCACTGAGCCTGTGCCAGGGAAGAGGTCGACTGTGTGCTCAGTGACTGTGGAGGAAACCAGGTGGCTCCTCAGTGAGACCCCAGGGCTCCCAGCAGCCTCCCAGGCAGCATAGTCCACCCAGATGCCCACTCTCCCGGGACCTGGGTCTGGATACCCCCTGCAGCCTCTGGACAGCCTCACCCCATTCTGGGAGGCCTTGCTTCAAATACCTCCGGGGGCTGGCTGAACACTGACCCCCCTCCCAGAGGGGTAGCGCCGGGGGAGAGTAGACTTCAGCCCCTGGTCCCCCCAGCTCTGTGGACCCCTGGGGACACCTCAGAGCAGACACAGAGGAGGGTCATGCTCTGGCCAAGGTCACACATAGGTCATAGTGGTCCTGCTTCTGCTGCAGCTGAAGGCAGCCTGGACAGCGTCTGAGTCTTGTCACCATGGAGCAGACTGGGGAAGGGCAGCTGCTGCTCCTTATGGCGGTTGCTCTGGGCTGGGGTTTGCACCACAGAGAGGAAGCAAGGATGCAGGGTCAGAGTAGGTGCGATCGAGGTCTCCAGTCTCTCCCCTCAGGTGCGTTCTCACCTGGACAGGCCAGTTGTGCTTTCTGGCTGGTTTGTGGGACTTACCCCCACCCCCATCACTCCCAGCCATGCTCCTGTCCTTCCCCCACTCCTCCACTCTCAAGCTTCAAGCATCTTCTGGAAGGAGCTGAGACAGATCGAGATGAGGCTGCGCCAAGCACAGCATTTATTACCAGACTGCTTCCCAGCCCCAATACCCTACCTACTGGTCACTGATTCCAGCTGATGGCCTCTGCTTCAGCCTGAGCAGGCACTGACCAGCGCTGTCTGCTGGGCATGTAGACAGGCAGGCTGAGCCCCCAGCTCTCCAGTCACTACTGAGTCTCAGAAGAGATCAACACCCCCCTCCCCTGCCACCCGTGGCGCCAGCTAACATGGTCCCTCTACCCAAGAAGGAGCCCACTTCTTCCTGAAGCAGCCCTGGAGCCTGGGTCTTGCTGGTCACACAGCTGCTTCTCCTGAGGCCCTCACTGGGAACAACAGTTCTGATTGGCTCTTGCTGCTCTGCCAACACAGACACTTCACATCCCAGTGGGTGGGCGGGGGCACAAGTCTTGAGAGTCAGCAGCAAAGGTGGGTGTGGGAGCGGGCGGGTCCTTGCCTGGCCTCTGGGTGGAGCTGAGGCTCTCAGGGGTGGGCAGAAGTTCTGTCCAGGAGCCTGGGGCCTGCCCCTGGTGGCCGTGGCCTCACTATCTCCCTAGCCACCTCCATTTCCCACAGTTGCTCCTGGACATTCATGCTGTTCCTCCCTCTGGCCCCAGAGGCTCCGTGCACCCACACCTTCAGAGATCATCTAGGCCACCCTCTTTGGCAAGTGACTGCCCCGGTCACACAGGAACCGAGCCCCCTGATGTCACCACCTCCCTCTGCCCAGCCCTCTGCCTTGGCCCGCAGGCTCCCCTCCCCTCACCAGGAGCACAGCAGCACCTCCTGGAGCGTCTTTCGAAGTTCCTGGCTGCGGAAGGCATAGATGAGGGGGTCGACGATGGCGCTGCACAGGATGAGGGTGAGGAAGAGCTTGAAGTTCTTGAAGACACAGCCGCAGGTGGGGTGTTGAGGGCAGAGGATAAGGAGTGAGAGGTGCAGGAAAAAGGGGCCCCAGCAGAGGAAGAAAACGCCCAGCAGGATGGTGAGGGTGGCGGCACCCTTGAGGCCAAAGCCCTGGTGGATGGGGTGCTGCCTCTTGTGGAGCCGGGCGATGCCCCGGGCGTGCTGGCACGCCCTGGCGAGCATGTGCACGTACAGCACTGCCATGAGCACCAGCATGGCCACAAAGAAGGTGACGAGACAGAGCAGGACAGCCGTGTGGTTGTAGTAAGCGATGAAGAGGGTGCTAGAGAGGACACTAACCACCCAGATGGCCACGATGGCACGCCACACACGGGGCAGCATCATGATGCTGTGGTACCGCAGCGCATAGAAGATGGAGATGTAGCGGTCTACGGCAATGCTGCCCAGGAAGCAGAGGCTGGACACCATGGAGCCGCAGATGAGCACATCAATGATGTTGTCCAGCTGCTGCAACACCGAGGCCTGGGTGGCCAGGACTCCGGCCTCCAGCAGCAGCAAGATTGCCATCTCCAGCACGTTGCTCATGCTCACCAGCAGGTCGGACACGGCCAGGCAGCAGATGAAGTAGTACATGGGTGAGTGCAGGTTGCGGTTCTTGGCGATGGCAGTCACCACCAGTACATTTTCCACTAGGCTCACCAGCCCCAGGCTGAGGAAGAGCCCATCAGGAATGGACACTTCCAGGCACGGGGGCTCCGTCTGGTTGGTGGTCAGCCCGAGGTAGGGGGTGGCTGGGAGGGTGGAGTTGAGGGAGCCCAGCAGCCTCCTCTGGGGCCCCTGCAGAGGCATAGTCCCTCTAGGAAGCAGGAAGGGGTCCTCACTCTCCAGGCGTCCCACTCAGCTCATGGTGCCACCCGCAGGGCTGCCCTCACACTCACGCTCTCCCTGGCTGGAAAAATGTTGGCCCAACCGTGGCCCAGCCAGAGAACCTGGCCTCTCCACCAGAGTCTGGTCACTTCCCAGCCAAGACCCAAGCTCTGTGGCACCAACCCTCTGGGCTCTGGAGTCTCATTGGGTTCTCAGCCCACCTCCCGGCCTCTCCCTGGAGGTGCTGTTGCTCAGGTCCGCACATCTCTAGCTCTTGCTGCCTCCTGGCCTGCCAGGCCTCCTGCCTCCCCAGAGCAGGGGTGGGTTGGGGAAACTGGGAAGAATGGAGCCTTTCTCAGCATCTTTAAAGGCTTCCATGGAGCCCCTCCTCCTGAGGGCAGTCACATGATGGGTGGGTGCCCGGGAAGGCACCATCAGAGCGCCCACACACCCTCCTGCCGCCGCCGCCAAGTGGCGCAAATGGCACCCACGACCGTCTGGGCTCCCCGGGCCCCCAGACTCCTAGACACAGCAGGACATCTCCCCTTTGCACTCCCAGCCTCCCTGTACTCAGCCAACCAGCACTCCCAGCTGGGCCTCTGCTCCAGGTGTGGCCTCCTCTGGACCTGCCCCAGACTTCTAACCCTCCTCCAGGCACATCTCAAACACCACCTCCTCCTTAAAGCCACCCCTGATCCCCTAGCCTGCCTGACTCCGCTCTACCTCAGGAACAGTCACTGGCTGTTGACTGTCCACTCTCAGCCCTCAGCCTTAACCCCCCACCCAATGTTAGGTGCTCACTGAGGGCAACCCCAGCCCCCAGAGACCCCCACCCCTTTCGCTGAGTGCTGCTGGAGGGCATCCTGGCACAACAGCTGAAAGAGACTGTGCTCACACTCCTCCTGGGGGAGGGATGGGGACAGAGCTGCGGTCCTTCCCTGACGGCCCCATTTCCTCTGCGGGAGCACACCACCAGCAGAGCCAGGAACCACTTCAAGGGCAGATCTCTGTCTCCAGCCACGTGGGGCACTGTGCGAGCCAAGCAGCGGTGGGGAACCGCCCCGGGCACCAAGCTGGCCTCACTCCCAGCACTTTCTCACTCAGACAGAGGACAAACCCTCCTTTGAAGGCGGAGGTGGGGGGATGGAACTCTTCCTCCCTTGACAGGTGGGGAAGACGAGGCAGCAAGAAAGGCAATGGCTTGTTCAAAGTCAGACACAAGTCAGGTGGAGGTGGAGCCGGGAGGGAGCTCTGAGGGAGGTCTCAGTGTCTGGGAAGTGTCCGCACCTGTGATCTGCCTGTTGAATTCGGTCCCTCACCCATGACTGTCAGATGGCCTCTGATGGGCAGTGCCCACATGCCCACATGTGTTACACGCACTTGTGAGTCATTCCTCAGGTCTGCACACCCTACAAAGCTCTTCCTTCCCTTGCCTCGTTTGTGCTTTTTATTGAAGTATGTCAATACGTAAAGGGCACAAATTATAAATGTGCAGGTTGGTGATGCTCCACGCTGAACACAGCCAGGAGAGCAGCACCCAGATGAGTCAAAAAAGCGTAAACTGCACCCGAACCTCTCCTCCTGCCCCAGGGAGCCCCCGACTGAGTGTGGGCTAGTTTTCCTCTGGGAAATTCCTACACGGGGCTCAGCTTGTTGGTCTTCCTGCTCAGCTCCAAGACCCTTGCAGTCGCATGCAGCGGGACCCTGTCCTCAGGCTGTGTGGTGGCTGGTGAGGAACGGACACCCTTCAAGTTCCGTGCTCCGTCTCCCTGTTGCCAACAGTGCTGCTGGGCATCCTCGCCCGTGTTTGGTGGACACAGGCGCGTGTTTCCATTGGGTGACACCAGGAGTGGCAGTGGGTGGTCGGAGGCACATCTTCCGCTGTGGCAGATTCTGCCTGTTTCTGGCAGTGCGTGAGCCCCCCACTCCCCACATCAGGGGTAAAAGGACAGCCCCGCCACAGCTCCAACAGGAACAGGCCCAGGATGGGCCCGCACCGCACACCTCCCCCAGCTGTCTGCCCCCCACTCGCTCCTCCTGGTGGAGCCCACAGGAAGCAGGAGGTCCCAGGCCATGATCAGGAGGCAGAGCCATGGCAGGGCAAGGTGGCTTCGGCTGTGCCTGCCACACAAGTCCTGGGACTCCCACTGCATCCCACTCCACTGCCGAGGATCACCTTCCAGACCACCTCCCACCTCTGGGGCACTGACTGAGAGTCTGCTGGGCGAGCAGTGCCCTGCCCCCAGCTTCTGTGTGGCCACATTTCAGGGACGTTAGTATTCCAGCTCCATAAATGAAGCCTTTGAGATGGACGTGCCTGACCCCAGCCCCCCTGCCCAGTCTGACTTCAAAGGGCGTGAGAACTGGGCAGCCTTTGGCAGGCGACCACAGCCCTCTTCCTGGGGAGGCCTCACGACTCCTCATCTGGCTCTCACTGCAGGTGCCTGTTGGGGACTCCGTGAGGGGACAGCAAGGACAGCAGGTACCACTGAGCTGGAGAAAGTCAACTTTGTGATGAGTTAGGGTCATAGGGGCAGCGTCTAAATGAAATCAGATTCCAGAGGCCTATTATGTCAACTCGATCTCCAGTGCCCCTGGGAGAGATTGAGTGAGGAATGGCCAGGAGACAGGCAGTGGACATACTGTCCCCTCAGAGCAGGTGCCACCATGAGATGATGTGCTGGACCCCTGCAGTCTTGTGCACTTGTGTCACCAGCACCAAGAACAGTGCAGGCACAGAGTAAGCCTGCAATACACAAGCGTTCACAGTGTAAGTGAGCTCTGGGGGGGTTGGGGCGTGACAAGCTCTCCCTGAAGTCGGGGAGGGTGCCTGCGTCCAGCCACAGCCACAGCCACACCAGGGAGGTGGGGGTCACCGCCTCTGGCCCCTGGCCCCACTTCCTTCATGGAGGCCGCCAAGGGCCAGCCCGAAGGCACACAGCCCCATGGGTAGACATGTGGACTGTACATGCCCCTCCTGACCCTCGTCGCAGTGGGTCTCAGGAAGGCCTGGCCCAGAGCTGAGTCATCCTGTCTTGGTTTGAGGGCCAGCTAGTTGCCTTTGAACTCGGGGAGGCGGTGGCTTGTGTGCCCACGTTGTGGGCTGCAGACCCTGAGGTGGGGCCCAACAACCCATTAGCCATCCTGCCCATGGGTGGCACGGGCCTGGAGGAGCCGGTTCACTCTGCCTGGACACTGGGTGGCAGGCCAAGCCTTTAGAGCTGGTGTCCACCAGAAGGACCTGCTGTCTTCTCGTCTCCACCAGAAACAGGACCTGCATGCAAGCAGCACGGCTGAGCACTGAACCTCACATTTTTCTGGGACAGCCGGCCGGGGGCAAGCAGTGGGCCCAGCCTCTCCATGTCACCATCCTGACGACACTGGCTCTTCATTTTAAAGTTCGCCGACTCCTGCCTGTTTGCGTGGCTGTTGCAACTCCAGATGTCACGCCCCACCTGGATGTACTTAAGGCCGGAAGAAGCAGAGTGTCAAGCTCTCCTTGCTCCCGTTGTGTTTAGAGAACAAACCCGTTCCCAGAAGACCCCCAGCAGACTCCTGTCTCACTGGCTGAAGCGCATCACAGGCCACCCAAGTAGGGCAGTGGATCTGAGACAGACGTGGATTATCTCAGTCACATTCGATCCTGGGAGCTGGGGTAGACCCACCAATTCATTGTGGCGGCACGGACTGAGGTGTGCGTGAGAAAGACGGACAACCTCACCACGTCTGCAGTGCTGTCCTTGCCACGGGTGTTTAAAACAAGAGGCTTCTGTTGATCCCCAAACACTGGGAGCCCCCATGTTGGGATCTGCTGAAAGGATGACTTCACAGGTGTCCCCGGTAGGTGACTCCACATCAATGACAAGGACGCCATTGGGGACTTCCTAGGAGACAGGCTGATGGACCAGGACTCGTACGGATGTTGACAGATGACTGGCCTGGGGCCGATTCTACCCCGAAACATAGGGACAGCACCTCCTCCCAACCCATGCCTGCCACCTCTGGGGAGGAGGTCGGGACCAGGAGGGCGCCTCGTGGACAGGATCCCTGGGGCAGCTCACAACCTTGGTGTCCTGGATCTTTCCAGAATCAAACAGGTTCCTCAGTCATGGGCAGTCCCAAGTAGTTCTGAGCTGTCAACCAAGTGCACCAGGACCCACCCAGGCAACAAGCCCTCCCCGCATGCTCCATTCACCCCCAGATCAAATGCCCCCTAATCTCTGCCATGTACATCCCCGAGCTGCCAGGACATCCTTTCCAGAACCTACCTCTCAGGCTTCCCCTCCAACTTGGTGCTGCCCTGAAGTGTTCCACTGAGACAACTGGGTCAGACAGGACGGACTGTCTGCGGTGTCCAGTCCAAGGACCCAGTGCCAGCCCCTCCTGCCCCAGGCCAGGCTGTTCCAGGTGCCAACTGGAAGCACATGCTGGCGTGCAGCAGAGATGCTGCACTGGAGGCTGTGGGACCCTTTCCCCACGCTTGTGCCCTGAGTTCTGGAGGGCAGAGCAGCGGCAGGGAGCACTTGCCAGAGCTCAGGCTCGGGGTGTGATCGTGGGTCATGTTCTCGCCTGGGAAACCTTGGGGGGCTGTGCAGATCCAGGACCCACCTGCCTTGCACTGGGCACTGACCCCAGCCCTGGGAAGGAAGAGCTCACGCCACGCAGAATGTAACCCATCATGTTTATAGGAGAAAAAGAAGAGGCAGGTGGACAACACATCAGCATTTCTACTTCAGGGAACTGGCCAATTCGGACCAGAACAGAAATCAGGAACATAATTGTACAGCGTTGGGGGCAGCGGCGCCGGCCAGTCCCACTCCTCAGTCCCACTCCCCGTCTCCCTCGGGGTTGTCCTCGTGCGGCGCCTCCAGGTCGTGGAAGTGGAAGTTGGCCATCATGTCTCGCACGGCCAGCATCAGCCTGTTCAAGCCTTGGTTGTGGTTCAGACCCCCAGCCCCTCCATCTTCCGGCCTCTCTCCCTGCAGCAGTGAGACACATCTGGGCAGGGGCTGTCCTGAGCCCCAGGGCCCAGCGCTCCCACCCCAGCTTGCCCACGACCTTGTCAAGGAAAGAAGCTCCCAAAAACCGAACACACAACATCTGACAAGGCTAGGCCCAGAGTGGGAGCAAGCAGCCGGACTGACTTAAGGGGCTTCAGCTCAAGCTGGCAGCTACAGCCTCGGCAGGCATGTCCCTGGCTGCCCCCACACTGCTGCAGTGCTGGCCCCAGTAGACCCTGGACGTTCACACCGAGATAGACCCGCCTGAAGCCATTCAGCAGGGGTAGTCAAGATGTGCTCAACATACCTCCATGGTGTAATTTGGCAATAACGACCTAAAGAAGAGAGCGATTGTGTTTCCGTGGCTGACGGGACTTAGCCTGAAAAAGAAAGTCAAGAAAGGTCAGAAAATGAAGCTGAGCTGACATTTCCGTGTCCCCTCCCTGCCTTGGTAGGGAGAGGAAGGCAGTCCCAAGCAGCAGCTGGGAAGACGGGGGTGTTGAGCTGGGGCCCTGGGCTCCCACAGATGGGTAAGCAGCCAAGACTCTGATCAGCTTGGGATGGGCTGTGGACACCAGAGAACCCAGGGAGACTGCTCAGGCCCTAACAGTGGGGGGCAGGCCCTTCAGATTTGGCTTGGTGAGCCACGTGGAAAGTAGGGCCCACCAGGGCCAAGCCACATATCTGCCACTGGACAGGTGCCTTGCTTTAAGAAGGGCTGTAGAGGCTGGCCCCGTGGCCGAGTGCTTAAGTTCACGTGCTCCGCTGCAGGCGGCCCAGTGTTTCGTTGGTTAGAATCCTGGGTGCGGACATGGCACTGCTCATCAAGCCACGCTGAGGCAGCGTCCCACATGCCACAACTAGAAGGACCCACAATGAAGAATATACAACTATGTACTGGGGGGCTTTGGGGAGAAAAAGGAAAAAAATAAAATCTTTAAAAAAAAGAAGGGCTGTAGTTTCAAAGTGGTGTTCAGCACTTAGCAGTGGAGGGAATATACAGAGAAGATTCCAGGGCGTGTTAGGACCCCTCCTGGTGAGACGTGGTACTGCAGCCCAGCTCTAGCAGACCTTCTGGGGCGAGGGCTGCCAGTCTGCAGAGCAGAGGGGACAAGCTTAGTCACAGTCTGACACCACCCTCAGGGCACCGTGTCCCATGTGTCAGCTTTCTTTGAACGCACTGACACATAATAATTTTCATCTTAACCTACTGGAGAATTTAACTGGGAACTACTTCCCTATAAACATGCAATCCAACTTATATAATTTAGCAAGAAAAACAGAAAAAAACAAATACCGTAACAAATGAACAAACAAAACAGAAATAAACTCATAGATACAAAGAACAAACTGGCGGTTGTCAGAGGGGGGTGGGGTGAGGCTGGGCCAAACAGGTGAAGGGGACTCAGAGGGACAAGCTCCAGGGATAAAGCCAGTCAGTCACAGGGACGTAATGTGCAGCACGGGGGCACGGGCAACAGTGTCGTAATAAACCTGCACGGTGACAGACAGGTCCTAGACCTGCTGTGGTCACCATTTCGTAATGTATTAAATGTTGAATCGCTATGTTATACACCCAAAACTAACATTGTACGTCAACTATACTTCAATGAAAATAAGTTAATGTTTGAAAACAGAGGGGAAAAAAAAGGCCTTCATTCTACAAACTGTGTTCTACTGAGGTCTAGAAAGCACGTGCTCCCTTAAATGGGGAAGTGTGTCTGCGCCTCTTCCAGATCTGGGACTGTGGTGATGGGCTCTAGTAAGGCAACTACTCAGCTGTGAAGACCAGAACGAGGAAACAGAAGGCTTTCCATGACCCAGTTCTGAAAGCCATCCACACGCTCATTGGCCGCCTGCAGACTCAGGCTTTGCTGCCCCATGGCCCCATCCTCCTGGCCTGGCCACATGGACTTTCCTTCCATTCTCTGAAGGTGCTGTTCCCTGCACAGCGCCTCTGCTCGTGCTGACTCTCCTGCTGGAATGCCAGCAACTTTTCCACTCTCCTTACGTGGCTAAGGCACATTCTTCCTTCACGTTTCAGTGTAACCGCTTCTTCATCTCAGAGTCTTATCCACCACTCTTTCCGAGCAGTTCCTTATTGCAGTTTCCTTTTTATACCTACTTCTAGATTCTTAGGTAACGTCTGCTTTCCGCACTACCCTGTACGCTCCCCAAGGGCAGAGGTGGTATCGTACTTCTGCTTCCCACAGCATCTCCAGCACCTGCTACAGAACCTGACAGAAATGCTGCTGCGTTAGACAAGTAAGTGAAAGCACAGGGCCCCAGATCACACTTTGCTCTGAGGGCCTGTGTCTGGAGGGGCAGTGAGTCCCAGGGAGCCCCAGAGCACTGACCTCAGAGCTGTACAAGCAAAGGAGCAAAGCGGGGGCGGAGAGGTACCTCTCTGGTCTGACGTAGGAGTAGATGGTGTCCAAAGGTGGCAGAGGGTCAAAGCCCATCACAGACTGTGTGGTCACATCCTTCAGAAAGGGACACAGAGCGGAGATGCAACAGAGCGCTGCTGCTGAGCCTCTGCCCTCCTCGAGCCGCCTTTCAGCTGGTTCCAGCTGGAGTGGCCCTTGCTGGAGACGGTCAGTCAGACAGAAATGGTCCTTTGCTACGAGGCTGTGTTTACATCCTCAGAACTTTGGGGCAGGGGATAGGATGGCCTTTCCTCCACCAGGACACTCACTCTGCCTGCTCAGAGCATCAGGACGACACCCGCAGGAAAAGTGTGCATGTGGTGGGGAGTCACAGAGACACAGAGCCCTGCTCACACCTGCCGTGATCTTCGCCGCAAATAGCAGCAGCGCCCACCTCAGGGCTGCAGGGCCCTGAGCCACTGGGTCACTGCTCTGAGCCTCCACAAGTTCACGGACAGCACGGGCACAGCTCCGCCTCTCAAAATGCCAAGTACCAAACCCAGGCTGCGAGGGGAGGAACCTCTGCACATGACCCCAACCCCCCGGGGGCTGAGCGGCCAGCAGGATGGCCACACATGTGACCAGCTCAAACAAGGCTCCCTTCTCATCCCCCTTCCTTACCGGAGGCAGGGCCGCAACAGCTTCTTTGATCTCAGAGAGGACCACATGGCGGTGGATGTTTCTGGGGGCGCGCTGGTAGAGCACCTTCCGCCTAGGGCCCAGGGGAAACAAGGGGCAGCATGTGGAGGGAGCCCGCTGGATCCACTCCCATGTTTCTGACAGCAACCCCGAGCCGACAGGCCTTGTTCTCCTCACGGGCCCCTGGCTCCCAGGCTCACCTGCTCTCACACACTTCCACAGCGGGGTCCCCAGCATCCACTGCTTGCAGAACCTCGCGGACGTTCTCCTCCAGCCAGCTCATGGTGGCAGGCTCCTTCCAGAGGAAGTGTGACCTCCCAAGGTACAGGCTCACCAGCTGGCTCAGGGCAGGGGGCTGACTATGGGGAGCAGGGCCTGTAAGCAGACCCTCCTGGGTCCAGGCCTCCATGCGCCCGCTGGCACCCACGGGGGCCCAGGGTGTGCCCGCAGCCTTGAGCGAGAGGAGGCTGCCAGCTGGGAGCGTGTGATCGCTGGGATGGGGGCACAGGCGTTCACTTCTAAATGTTGTATGCTCTCTAGTAAGTACGAGTTTCTTAACAGAAATGTGGAATAGAACAAGAGCATGTAGATCTGTGCGCACACAGACAGTGGAGGAGCACGCTGGTCTACTAACATGGGTTGAGGTGGCTGGCTCCCGCATCATGCATTTTTCTCTATTTTTTAAGAGAAATCTGAAAAAGGCTATGCATGCCAATACAGACATGGGGACCACACTGAAGACTGTAGCAATGATAAACTCGCCTGGTAGATACTAGCATGGTGGCCCCAAGCGCCACCCTGCACCTCACCAGGAAGCCTCGTGCTTCAGGTGGCAGCTGCACACACCCGTGTCAGCTCTGTGCCTCCCAGGCGAGGGAAGCCAGCCCTCCCGCAGTGGGGACAATCCTGTCGCTGAGGTCTCCTGCGGAGGGCACCTGCCAGGACCCTCCTAGCAGCAGGAGACAGCAGTGACAGCAGCATTGTGGACTTCACGTCTGAGTTCAAGTGGCTCCCAGCCTCTGTCCCACAGGGTACCCCCACGATGCACCCATGGCATTCGTCCCCTCGGGGCGTCTTCCAGTCTTTACCTTATCTCAGCGTCGGGTCCAAAGAAGCGGTGATTGGCAACAGCGGCGTCAGGCCGCACGCTGCAGTACTCGAGCAAGGACATGAGGACTGCAGAGGAAGCAGAGGCCCCGGCGCGTGGGGCAAGCCCTGGTCACTCCCGCAGTCACTGACAGGCTGACACGAGGGAGGAGGCTGGACACCCAAGGTGAGCCTGGGTCTTCCACACGAGCCCAAGGGGCCTCTGCCATCCTGGAGGGGGTTATTTGTGCTGCTGCCTCCCAGTGGCCCCATCTGCATCTGAGAGGACTCCCCAGGATGCCCCCAAGCACATGCCCTGGATGTTCTAGTCATCAAGACCACACACCTCACCCACAGGCTCAGGGGAGCCAGCTAGTGGGGTGCAGGCAGAGCCCACCCCAGCCCCCTGTGGCAGCTCCCCCTCTGAGCAGCTAGAGCTTCCCCCCACAGCCATGTCTGTCAGGAGAATCGTCTTCCAAGTGACGTCCCAGGGATGGGCTACAGCTACAGCCGGGCTCCCACTGAGACACAGCACGGGGCCCCCAGCCCTGTGACCCCACACATGTGGCTTCTTAGAAAAGCAGATGGACCCCTCTGGGTCAACAGGCAGGCCCCACGGTTCTGCTGTGCAAGGGGTGCCCCCGACCCACACTCCAGAACCTGAGGACTGAGGAAGTGATGCTGAGTCCGGGACTAACACACCAGCTGTGTGCAGACTCCACAGGGCAGGCGTCACGCAGCTACAAACAATCCCTCCCTGGCACAGACGGCCAGCGCCCCTCACGGCCCTTGTCTCTAACGTCATGCACCTTGCTGGGGAAGGGTCAGTTTCCCTCACACCTCCAGGCAGCCGTGTGTGTGTGCAGATGGAGGGGGAAGACACACAAGGAGCGCTTGGAGCCTGCTGGGAACCCCAAGCAACATGGCTCAGCCCTCCTCTGGCTGCTTCCTTCTCTCTAGCACATAGCACCACCTCACCCGCCACATTCCCCTGCCCTAGGATGTAAATTCCCAGGAGGGGAATTATGGCTGCCTCCTCCCGCCTGGCCTGGCCAGCAGGAGGCTCACTGAGGTGGGGGGCATCGAGGGCCAAGCTGCTCCTCCACACGAACCATGCCCAGCACACAGCCCTCTGTGAAGCTGTACATGGTGGAAGGACCCTGACGGGGGCGGTGGGCTCTGTCCTCGGGTCACAGACACCTTTGAGAATGTGCTTCAAGTCGCTGGCTGTGGCAGGAGATGAGCTGCAGGCCTCTCTGCACACCGACCGACGTGCAGCTTCAGGGAGCGCAGGGCGCTGGGAGGCCCACTGCAAGGCCTCAGGACAACCTCATCTCTGAGTTCTTCAAACCAGTGAGAAGGATTTGAAGAGAAGAATATAAAGCCTAGTTTGCTGACTGGGGCCCTCCTGCCCCTGTTTCCTCTGACATCTGCTGGCTCACTTCCCTCTCCTCTAGAAAATGCCTCATTTTCTTCAGACTGTAAGTCTTTCTTAAACAAATTGTCAATATCAAAAGACTTATCCTAGGGCTGGGCTGGTGGTGCAGCGGTTAAATTTACAGGTTCTGCTTCAGCGGCCCGGGGTTCATCAGTTCAGATCCTGGGCGTGGACCTACCACCATGCTGTGGCAGGCATCCCACATATAAAGTAGAGGAAGATGGGCATGGATGTTTGCTCAGGGCTAGTCTTCCTCAGCAAAAAGAGGAGGACTGGCGGCAGATGTTAGCTCAGGGCTAATCTTCCTCAAAGAAAAAAAAAAAGATTTAGCCTAAAAGCCCAAGCTAGTTTGAGACCAAAGTCAGTTCTGACTCACTTCAGCTTTCAAACTGTAAGCGCAGCTGGTTGAAGGCCCTGCTGGAGGACGCACCTTTCTGGAAGTGAAGGGCGTGTGCTGGGACCCATGCGCATGCACACACGTGTGCGCGTGTGCTGGGGGGCTGGCAGGACACACCCACCTCCGGGGAACATGGTGAGCGCCTGTCGGATCAGGAGAGAGGCCTTTTCCCTCGCAGAGCTGAGCTCCTGCTCAGGAAGGTCCGCTTGCTGACTCAGCAGGAAATACGCCAATGGCACCGAGAAGGCAAAATTGGGGAGCTGGGACAGGTTCCGATGAGCCTACAATGGGTGAGAAACAAAGGCTGGGGCTTCAAGGTGGCAGAGGAAATGATGTGAAGCTCAGACGCTCTGATGTCGCTCGATGAACCCCTGACAAGCACAGTGATTTGCAGGCATCTCTTACACAGTTTAAAGATCACTCAATTTTACATCCGGGGAGGTTTTCTCTGTGTAGAAAAAACAAACAGCAGGACTCGAAGGTGTGGGGACCAGCCTAGCTGGCTGAGTGAAGCTGCAGCAGCTGGCGAAGGGACCCGGGAGGTGGCGGAGGGAGAAACAGGCAGTGGATGCGAAAGGTGAGGGACAGACGGACCCCCATTGATGGCTCAGCTTTAGAAGCAGGCAGGCAGCACTCCCTCTGTGCACGGAGCGCAGAGGGTATGAATCCACCCACACCGAGGAGCGTAGCCTCGACTCCACCGCCCAGGGAAGTCTGCTCACACTGCCCTGCATTCTCTTGCCTTTCTCTACAAGTGTATACACATGTGTACATACAGACACACATGAAGAACAACACTTTCTCTAGTCAACCCATCACAGTCTCCATAGAGTTTTGGAAGCTTAGAAACTGTCACAAACATTCCTCTGCAGCCTGCAGGGCTGTGGGGGGCTCCCTGCAGCTGCGTCTTTGTGAGCTCCAGGAACTTCTGTAAACTAGACCCCAGAGGCGGGACTCCTTGGGCAGCCATGCCGAATGATATAGAAGTCAAAGGTTTACATAGTTATTTTTCAATTATTCACAAACATGTGCTGTGAAAAAATTCAAGCATAGAAATAAAGAAAAAAGGGGCTGGCCCTGCAGCCGAGTGGTTAAGTTCATGCGCTCCACTTCAGCGGCCCAGGGTTTCGCTGGTGCAGATCCTGGGCGTGGACATGGCACCGTTCATCAGGCCACACTGAGGTGACGTGCCACAGAGCACAACCAGAAGGACCGACAGCTAGAATACACAACTACGTACTAGGTGGCTTTGGGGAGAAGAAGAAGGAAAAAATAAAATAAAATGTTGTCACCTGCTTTTCCACCACCTGCCCCCTGTGAGAGTGGCCCGAGCAGGGTCTGTGTGTCCTCCGAGACGGCGCCGTCCAACAGGCACACGATGAGAGTGCGCCTGTCAGCTCACAGCTCTGACAGCCGCATTACAGACAGGTGAAACAGATGCTGATACATTGCATTTCACCCAGCATCCCTAACAAGGCACCACTTCTACACATAATCACTCTGAGAGTCACCAACGAGACCACCGACGCCCCTTCTCGTGCCCAGTCTCAGGCCCGATGAGCACCTGTGGCAGGGGAACCAAAGCGTCCTGGTGTCGGGCCCTGATGGGGAGTGGCTCTGGGACTCCAGCGCACATTTACACGTGAACCCAACACGTGCTCTCTAGCATCATCGGCCTTCCAACGGGACAGTCTGTGCGAGCCCCACAGGGCCCCCCCACCTCACAGCAGTCTTTCCACGCATGTGTACGCAGAGGGGAAGGGAGACAAAAGAGGGCACTTACAGTCTGCCCTGGCCCTCGCCATGGTATCGCAGAGCCATCCCTGCAGTGCATGGGAGGGACTCTGGACAAAGACAGGCAGGAGAGACGTGGCCCCTGTGGGACAGCCCACGCCCAGACCTACCTCCCACTCCTGGAAGAGGCGGATCAGGTACTCGTAGTTCCGTGCCCGCAGGGCCAGGTGGTCAATGAGCAGCAGCATGCACAGGGGGTCCTCGTCGGGTTCAAGGCTTCCAGAGGCAGCATGGTGACCAAGGAGGGCAGAGGGAGACAAAACCCAGAGTGGGCCGGGGCAGATGTCCGCAGGCCGCAGCCCCTGAGTGAGCGGCGCAGTGGCCAGGACACTCACCTCAGGATGAGCTTGCAGTACTCCAGTGCCGTGCGTGGGCAGCCGCGCTTCTCCAGGAAGCTCATCTGCTTGTAGAGGGCCAGGTAGAAGCTCCTAGATCCAAGACAGTTCCTCGTGAGTCAGAGCAACAGCACGGCGGTAAGGCCACGCCGCCCGGGAGCCCATCCAGCACGGTGTCCACCCTCCAATCACTGTGAATGTGCCTGTGTCTGCAGAGAAGGCGACGCTCTGCTTGTTGTTTGCAGTTACATGTGTGTCCACGTATAGAAAACCAACCTAATTTGTTAATTGAAACCTTTATCTTCTTGTTTTTTACTATTTACCATTTAAGCAAAAAGAGTTAAAATCACTTGCTGTAATTATGATCTCTCTTTATCCACAAATTTCAACAGCTGCCAGCAGCACTGTGGCTGGATGCATAAAGTCTTGTGACTTAAATCGTCCTGGTGGACTGTTATTTTTATCAACAGCCAACTGCCCTATTAATGCCTGGAAACAGTAATATTTTATAACCCGTCTCAAGAACTAAGAATTAGGGAGACAAAACTAACACAAACACAACCAGTAGAGAAAATTCAGACCCATGACACAGTGCAGACCCAGGACACTGTGCAGACCTAGGACACTGGGCAGTGGGGGCTGGCATGCCCTGGGACCCAGGATGGCCTCCAGGGCAGGGGAAATATCCCACAGTGGAGAAGACCTAGGAGAGCTGGAGACACAGGAGGACACAGGGTAGCTGGGACAGAGGGCACAGCCACCCCACCAGGGCCCTAAAGACCACATCAAGGGCAGGAGGCCAGTGGGCGCCGTCAGCAGGGAGGCTGCTGCGCCGTGCAGGCCTGAGCTGATGAGGGCCAAGGCCAGAGCAGGGGCTTCAAGGTGGAAGAAGATCTGCGAGAAGAGCGTGTCACATGTACGCCTGCTCAGTGCAGGTGAAGAGGGTCAGGAAACACACTGTTAGACCCCATCATGGTGACGTGGCCGCGCCAACACCAGACCAGCCCAATCTGTCCATCTGTCCTTCAGCCCAGCATTCCTGCATTCAAGCTTTCAACAAAGCAAGACACTATGGTCCGAGCTGCCAGTGGGACCCCTTGTGGACATCCCGTGCCACTTGCCCCCACTGCACCCACTAGCACTCATGTCACCCATGACAGCTTCGGCAGACTTACAAGAGAAAGAGCAGTGAGCATGAGTGTCCGTGAACCCCCGGGGCTGTTGGCTCACCTGTTCTCGGGTCTGCGGTAGTCCAGCCGGCAGGTCCCACTGGTGAGGCTGAACAAGGGGTGGAATGCGCACTCCATGCTGTATAGTGCTCTCTCTGCGGCAGACACCAGGGCAGGTGTCACCACTGCGCAGTGACGGCAGCCCTGCCCCCGCGCCTCGCAACAAGGGAAGCTCTGGAAGGAAGGAGTCATGGAACTAGGATTTTGGAAAGTGGCAGGGCACGGACGTGACCTTGGGATCAGTGGCGCCACTGTGCGCTTACTTCAACCACAGAGATACAACCTGGCAACACCAGGGTCTGAGCCAAAGAAATGCAAACACACGTCCTCACAAAACCCAAATGCGCACGCCCACAGCAGTTAATTCACAAAAGCAGAAACATGGAAAGAACCCAAGCGTCCCTCAAATGCCGGTGGATGAAGAGAACGTGGTCCATTCACACAACTGTTAAATGAATGAAGTGCTGACATCCTTGTCACACATGGGACCTTGAAGACATTATGGTAAATGGAAGAAGCCAGAGACAGGTGTACATGACTCCAGTTACAGGAAATGTCCAGAACAGAAGCATCCAGAGAGAGAGGCAGACTGGCGGTTGCCAGGGTTTGGGGTAGGGAGATGACAGCTGATGGGTCAGGGTTTCTTTCGTAAGTGATGATCTAGAATCAGGGGTGAGGAGGCTGTAGAAGTCTGGCACATACTAAAACTCAATGAATTGTACACTTTAAACAGGAGAATTTTATGGTACGTAAATTATATCTCAATAAAGCTGTTATTGAAAAAATATCCTGGCAAACCCATTTGCAGCCCTGTTACCTTATAAAACAGCACCTGTGATGTCAGCTTCTGAGATGCTCTTTGACTGAAGGGACAACTGGCTTGTGGAAACAGCAGGGCAGGGTGTCTCTCAGTCTCTTACCTACAAGGTCTCGAGCCATCTCCTGGTCCTCCTGAAACCGGCAAGCGTCACTGAGCTGCAGGAGCGAGTCGACATGATAGGGGCTCGTCTGGAGCAGAACCTACGTGAGGAAGAGAGCCGAGAGGGCTGTCGGCAGGACCTCCCTGGGACACATCGGGGAAGGCGGCAGGCCCTGGGCATGCCCTTCAGGCATTCAAACCTCGGGTGGGGAAACTACCACTAGAGGTAACATTCACGACACCCCCAGCTCACAGGGTGCTGGCCTGATGTGAAGTGGAGCTCGGGACTCTGCATGCCCAGGCATCTCCACCTTGACTCGCACTCTCACCCATGAAACAAACCCCGTTCCCCACACGGAAGACAATGGGGAGCACTCAGAATCACCTTGCCCTGGACCATGACCCTTGTGACCCAGTGTACACTGGGGGTCAGAGGAGCCAAGAGGATAAGCTGCTTTTGGCCAGAGTGAGCAAAGGTTGGGACCCAGGCCTGGGGAGCCCGGCTAGTAAAGAGGACGCAGGCTGGGCAAGCCCCTCCCGTGGGGACACACGCACCACGATGTTGTTGGGCTCCATGGACTCCACAGCAGCCAGGAACTTGTGCTGTGTCTGCTGGTACTCCTCGCTGTGCTCAAATGCAAAGGAGGAGAGGCCTTTCCTGGACTCCAGCAGCCGCATCGACAGACCTAGGGGGAGTGCCTGTCAGGCCCTAGCTCGCAGCGTTCTTGGCGAGGACCCTCTGTGCGCACGTAACTCGAGTCACCACGTCAGAGCCTTTGCTCCAGCCCTTGGAGAGTGGTCCCAGGACACCCCGGGCTGACTGCCCATGGCTCAGTCTGCACCGGCACTGCATCCTGTCTAGTCTTGTCCTTTATAGATGTTTCTCACCAGAGGAGCGTGGATGGAGCACTGATGCCCCAGGACAACAGAGACGAGGACAGGCACAGCCCCCTGCTAGCTTATCTAGGTGGGCATGGAGACAGCGCAGGAGCCACAGCCAGGCCTCCAAGGTGACAGTGACTTATAACCCATGACTAGGCACCGTCTCTCTGCTCCTCATGCCTGACTTTGGGTGTATGGAGTCCAGTTTCTTCTGATGACCTCACAAACTCGCCTCCCTGCAGTGCCTTCGTGAAACAGGTATGTGTGCTGGGCGGCCCTGACTCACCCTCCGGATGGCCCGCCAGAGCCAAGCCCCGCAGGACCACACGGCCAGTGAGCCTCCATCTCTGCTCGTGCTCAGGGCCTTCTGCTAGGAAGGTGGGCAAAGGAAAACGGGGACAAAAGATGCCCACCAGGAACCAGAGCTTGCCCTCTGTGTCCTTACTGAGTACACGAGGCTCCTGCAGAACCCACAGGCACAGTGGTGGGCAGAGGCTAAGGGCTCATGGCGCCTCTCACAGTGAGTATCCCTGCCCCCACCCTCTGCCCCCCAGGACCCCTGGGCCCCAGATCCGAGGGCTCTCAGATGCTCCTCCACGCCATGCTGCCAATCACCCCAACAGGACATTGACTCCACACCCCAGGCCTTTCTGCAATGTTGCTGTTTTTCTTTAAATTATGTGTACTTACCAGTTTGCAACAAAGTATAAAATATCACACTTTAAAAACGAACTTGATTGGTTCCAATGGTACAGTACCCACAGCATTAAAACACAGTGGTCGGAAACATGAGCTGGTGTTGGTGGTGTGTGCCCAGACCTGGGTCTCTCCGCCAGCCCCATGCCAGTGCACTCAATCACAGCCCTGCACACTCGCTTCGCACAGACAGAGAAGCGCCAGGCCTGACACACACGGACCCCAACAGTGCCCGGCCTTGGCCACCACGCAAACCCCTTCAGCCCCAGCAGCCCCTCACCTGGCTTGCTGTACCGGGGCCAGGTGCTCTTAGGGGTCGTCAGCCACGTACACTTGGGATACACACGTTGTCTCTGCCGCGGCCTGGGGAGAACAGGACACGGGCACAGCTTTACCTTCGCTGCCTGACCTCTGCAAGGCCTGTGGAAGCAAAACAGCGGCGCAGGGAGAGGGGTCGAGCAGCAGCACGTCCACAGGCATGACAAGGACAGAACGCAGTGCTAACAATGGAACGTAGGCACTGCCAGACAGAACCGCAAACTGTAATCCAGACAACTGAAAAACCAGAGAAAGAGAAAAGGAAGCCAGCATGCTCACAGTCCAGCAAAGTGGCAGGAAAGGTAAAAGAAACAAGTTGAAAACCTAAAATAAAGACAAGAATGAGAGCAAACAAGCAGGCTTCCTGTGGGGGCCCAGGCTGGACCACACAGCACCGGCTGAGCACAGAGGACAGGGGCCATCTCTGCCTTGAGGTGGGTTCTCACCTCCTCCCCTCTCCTGAGGCTGCACCAACACATCAACAGGGTGTGAAAAGGGAAAAGTGGTGACAATGGAGAGAACTGGGGGAGGGCCTCAGTGCACCAACGTCGACACACTGCTGGAAGAAGGGCAGCTGGACAGAGGGGCACAAGCAGGCAGGGGAGGGAGCCTGGGTCCCTGCAGACAGCGGCATGGATGCACCCCCACCCCGGGCCCAAGGCTCTGCTGTCTGGGGGTCACTGCTGCAGGAGCCAGGCCCACCCCAAGTCGTGGTCATACGGAGGGTCCTGCTCTATCAGTGACACTCTGCTTCCTACGTGAGTGATGGGCATGTAGAGCTGTGTATATTACTCTCTATAATTTCTCCATAATCCGAACTATTTCATTAAGAAAAAAAAAGAGCAAGAAACTGGATTGTGTCATAACAGGATAAAAAGCATGTTTCTCTCCCAAAAAGAAAGTCAAAACTGGGGCCAGGCCCATGGCCGACTGGTTACGTTCACGCGCTCTGCTTTGGCGGCCCAGGGTTTCACTGGTTCAGATCCTGGGCACAGACAAGGCACCGCTCATCAAGCCATGCTGAGGTGGCATCCCACATGCCACAACTAGAAGGACCCACAACTAAAACAAATATATACAACTACTGGGGGGCTTTGGGTAGAAAAAGGAAAAATACAATCTTTAAAAAAAGAAAGTCAAAACTGCAGGAGAAAAACCAACTGTATAAGGAGAGCACAGTCAAAATCTGAAGGAAACTAAAATGTGGGGTGATTCTGGTCAATTGGTAGAGGGAAAAAGGAGAAGTCATTGGATGCTTGGAACCGTCCCTGTCTATGGCATCCCCTGGCCCAGCCCTGCAGTGTGCTGTCCGTACAGAACAGACTGGACTGAGGTGCCTGAACTGCCCAGGGGGGCCAGCACCGAGGGCTGAGCAGACACCAGCAGAGCAGTGGAAGTGGGACAGAGGGAGGTGAGCGAGCCAGGCCCGTCAGAGGAGGATGCTAGCAGAGAGGGTCCAGATGTGAGAGCCCAAGAAAGAGTAGTGCACGTGTGATCTGGAGATTCTGAGACCAGAGAAGATGACAATCAGAGGCAGGTGAGTCAGTCTCCGAGGAGCAGAATGAGGAGGGAGGGAACCACAGCTGCTCAAGGAGGCCCTTTGGTAAGACAAACTTTTAAAGAAACACATCAGTACAGTAGCACCATAAAAACAATAAATGTAATTACTATTAACTAATTACTATTAATAACCATAATTTGCACAGAAATAAGAACAGGCAAAAATATCAAGAATTGGCAAAACACAAAAATAAAAGCAAAATAAGAGCAAACAAGAAATACAAGGGAAGTGAGCCAATAACTGGTGAAATTTCCCCAGCCTTCTTCACAATCAGACAGGGGTCAAGCATCAGGACTTCCCATCTACACATCATGACCGACTTTCAAACCTCCCATACCTCGTGTAGCTCACAGGAGGAAGAAGGGCCGCGACGGTGGGTGGGTGTAAGGCAGTGAACACCACTAACTCATCATGGGAACACCCATTCCTGGGAGATTTCACTAGAAATGCCCGTGCAGAGGCAGAGGACTGCAGCCCACACACAAGCTACACTGGCTCCAGGGAGGGCCCTCCCCGGGACACCAGGCTGTGGAAAACACTGCTCAGAACTCAGCTGTGCAAACCAGGCCGTGAGACCAGCACACAGGACGTGTGCGCAGAGGCCCTGGGCAGACACAGCAAACTGCCTGTAACATCCTCTTTGGGGGCCAAAGGAGACAGTTCTGAACTGTCAGAATTGTATAAGCATTTAGTTCTGTAATCACAACGAACATGTACTTGAAAAGACAAATCTTTGGCTGGTGCGAAAGCTCCCACAGAAAGTCCCAGAAACAGACCCTCACACTCAGCATTTCCCATCATGTCTAGCAGGTGCCAAGCACTAGGGACTACTAATTAACAGAGATCAAACTTCTCTCAGAACCTAAACTCCATGTTAGTCTTGCTGCTGACTGAGGAGCAAAAATTAAGATTTCAGGGCTAAAAACTAAAAATTCAAGGGCTTTCAGAATCTTAGTAAAACTACGACACACATACTAGGGAAGGCAGTGTAAGGGACGGAGCCCGATGGCCAGGGACAAGGTTAATCAGCCACTTGTCCCCGGGGCCCCTTCCGGAGCCCTCAGAACCGGCCTCCTCAGCGTCTCCTGTGTCCTCCCCAGGGCTCTCAGCTGACTCGGAGAACGCCCCGCCCCCTTCAACTGAGAAAAGCTGGAGTTGACCTTACCTCTGTTCCCCCAGGACAGCTCGAGCACCAAAATACCTTTTCAGTTCTGTGTCTGGATTCAAGTGTCTAGAGAAGTGAAAATTTTACAAGGAAAAATGAAATTGAGTTCTTTTCCAAAGATTCTGGAAATGTTAGAAAGTGACATAAAAACCCAGCAGGGAGAACAGCTATGGTGGCCTGAAAGACAGCTTGCAGGCCTGCTTTCTTTCAAATCCCCCGACCCGGGGCTGAGGCGCCAACGCTCTTCAGGCTGAGGCTGAGCAGCCAAAGGCCAGAGACTAGATCAAGACGTCTTCACTGACTTAGGAAAAAGAGGGCCTTTTCTTTCTTAATGCTGCCAACAATCTCTGTGGTAGGGACAGGGTTTCATTAAGCATCTACAAGAACAAGAGATGGAGTTTATCCTCGGACGGCATCTTACTTTAACACAGTTTAAGAGCGTTCCCAGATATATAAAGCTTAGCGTAAGGTCCTAGAAATAGGGAGGAATTTCCCTGCTTTCTTTCTCCTCTCTTCTATTTCCTATATGTTTGATAAGAAATTCCTGGCACTTTTAAATACAGATAGTGCGTTTCTTTCTTCTTCTTCTTTATAATAACGTTCTCCCTTGCCACGGAGTCTCCGCAGTGACAGGCAGGCGGGGACAGAGGTACCTGTGCTCCACATACAGGACGTGCTTCTTCGAGCTCAGGGGAGGCGGGCCCGGGCGGTTCAAACCACTGCTGTCCTCAATCCTCTCTAAGATCCGGTCGATATCTTCCAGCCCATTCTCCTAAAAGCCCAAAAACAACACATTAATCACCACACTGACTTTATTTTAAATGTTATAACAATAACAAATGGCTTATTTTTACGATGAACAAGTATTATATTATGTTTAGTTCCTGAAAGACAGTATAATCCAAACACCGTGGACTGCACCTACCATTAGTAAAAAGGAAGATGCTTCATAGAGGAAGGCTACAACAGACAGAATCACAGAGCCAGAGGGACCCTTGAACTACTGAATCACAAGCCCACACACCTCATCTTACAGGTGTGCTCGCCTCCTCAGGTAACTGAGCTGCGAACTGTGAACGGCAACCAAGTTACAACCTCTTTTCAGGAGAAGAGACTCTCCTGCAGAGGACCGGGGCAATAACGGAAGTATGTTTTCTGATGACAGGCTGCACCTGAGAGAGCTTTACATCTCACTCCCAAATGAGGCCGTCAGCACTAAAAGGTCAGCGCACAGGGGCAGCGGAACGAGGAGGGACCGCGCCGTCCAAAGAGCGTCATTTCCGACAGTTTGCTGGGAAACGGCAAGCCCAGAGGGGCTCTGACCCTCCAGGAAGAAGGGAACAGACACAGGGGCAAAATTTGATTTAGTAATTTTTCGTTTTTGTTTTCCCTGACCCCTGAGTTAGTTATCCTCCTAAGGAAAGGAATCAAGATATCAAATAAAAATGAACTGCCTTCGAAAAACAGCCGGAAGAGAACTGAGAGGAAATCAGCCAGACCCACATACCGAAGTTTCTCCCGTAGCGTTTTTCTTACTTTTCTGTTTCTTTTTCTTCTTTCGGAGTTTGCCACTTATATTAGACTAACAAAAGAAGCACATTTTAATCAATGGAAAGAGATGATACACTCTGAAACCCTGAGAACTAGAGCAGCAAGCTGCAGACGGGCATGAGGACGTGGCCTGGCATCCGTCTTCCCTTTCTGGACCTCCTGGGAATGCACCCACTTCTCTCCAACAACATGCCCCTCCTGCGGCTCCTCCCCTCTGCTCTGCCCTGTCGTGCTCAGGTCTGCTGTCCAGGCAGCCTCTCTCACCCCCTCCTGACTACCTCAGGGCTCCCCCGACCTCACGACATGGCTCCCAGGGTTCTGACCACTTGCCCGTCTGCCCTCTGCTTTCATCCTCCACCTCAGCAATCACCCTCCCCGCCACACAGCCACCCCACAGACGGGGCTCTGCACCACAGTCCCCCGCCCCTGCAGGCCCTCTGCCTTCACCCCTCTCGTGCCTTTACCAGGCCACCTCCTTCCATCAGTGTGGAGGCTCCTCAGGGAAGCCCCCACCACCCCAAGCCCAGTCAGGTCTCCACGCCTGTGTCACCCCCTCGACCAGAGATCCCTGGAGGGCGAAGACTCGTCTCCAGAGCCCAGGAGGCTCACAATAAGGACTTGTTGAATAAGTGAGTCCTGAGGGGCCCTCTCCTGTGCCGTGGTGCACTGCGGCCACGCCCCAACACCAACCTGACCCATATGTTTCCTGGAAGCTTGTCCCCCAGGGCCTCGGTCCACCCACCCGAGCTCAGATGCACCATCACAGGGAACACACACCCCGCTGAGCCAGAGCAGACTCTCTCAAGACTTGGGAACCACCTCTCGAGCCAGGGAAGCTTGTCTGGGGGACCCTGAATGTGGCTCCCTCCATGGCCACCGTGAGTCTTGAGGATTTCATGCAAATCTGATGTGGGCCTCCAAGAAAATTTGGGAGAAACTGGGCAACTGGCAAAATGGAACCCAGAAAATGACAGGAGAGAGTGTGTGTGGCTTGGCCCCTCCTTGTCACCACACAGCCCCACACCTGCTCGGGGAGCGCTGCCCTGTCAGCTGCTTCTCCATCTCTCTTGGTTTCTGTGCTTCCACTCGGGGACCTCCTTTTGTTCCTTGACACCACAGCGTCTGTGAGCAGACAATCAGACCTCTCCCCGTTCACCACAGGTCCCTCCTCGAGGTCCTCGATGTTGATCTGGAAAAACAGATGGAAGAGCACAGGGTCATTCATGTGCATCCTAGTCACTGATTAAGTGGCAACACCGAAATGCGTGTGAGAATGGAGAGCAGAATGGAGGCGATGGGCATGCTCAAGGTCACTCCGAGGTCACAGAGGGAAGGAGCACAAAGGTCTGTGGTGCTAGCAGTGTCACAGTGCTCATCTTCAGGGCGACTTCAGTCAATGCACTTCAGAGGGTGATGGGCGCCGTGTGGCCATATGGCATCTCTGTCTTTGAGCGACATAATGAAGAATCTCCGAACACTACAACTTATCCCCAGTTACCGAGTACCCCCTTAGGGAAAAGATTTGTAAACACACATGTTCAGCCAGTGCATTAATGTTCTTTCCCCCTACTGTGGACTCTGGCTCAGCTCTATGGTAGCAGACAGGAGAAGAAACTGGAGGAAAAGAAGGCACCTGAGAACAAACCTATCTACAAACAGGTTCCTCATAATAAAGGTAATAATAAAAATAATAACCCACACAACGGAACCTTATATAGTAGTGAAAAGGAATGAACCACATTCATACACACAACACAGATGAATCTTAGGAACACAGTGCTGAAGGGAGAGTCCCAGAAGACTCACACACTAAACTCACACTAAACACTCACAGACTTGTACATGCTCATTCACACACTAAACATGCTCATACACACTAAACACAGACTTGCACATGCTCACACCTGGAGGAGACATGGGGGCAGGGGGGTAGGGAGGAGCAGAGGTGGGTACCAGCTGGCCCTTCAGCTCATAAGTGCATAAACAAATAAAAGAGACCAACATGGAACAATAACAACCATGCTTCATAAACCAGACTTGATGGACCCAACATGGTACAAAAATAAATAAAGATCCAAAATAAGTAAACAAATAGACTTCCAAAAATAAATAAACAAAGCTACATGGTCAGACATAGGCATCTTGGCAGAGTAAATTGTTCCCTTGTCTCTCCCCTCTAAGTTACAACTGCATGGACCATTCATTAACCAGCAGAGGATTGGATGCACAGCACAACAGGACGTCCAAGAGATCCTTGCAGCCGTGCATCTGAAGATAGGTGGGCTGGATCCCCAAGACTCAGTGAAACTAGGTGAGTGCACCCCTCCCCTTCCCCAGTGATAATGATCTAGGTCCTGAGTCCTCAAACAGCGGCCAGTGGGACTATAAGAGGAGGTGGGGGCAGCCCGGCCCACTTGAACACTTTTGGAGTTGTAGCCCAGCCTGCAAGAGCACTCAGTGTTGCAGCAGCCCTGGCCATGGGCACGCTCCCCACCGAGTGGTGCAGCTCAGCCCCATGAAGCTGCCCCCACCAAGCATAGCAGCTCTGCTGAGCCTCCCTCAAGCACAGAGCTGGCCCATGCATGACAGAAAGCACCCCCCCACCCGCCCACCTAGTGCACTAGCTCAGCTGGTCTCCTGCTGAGTGCACTGGTCCCGCACCAGAGTGACCCAGTGGCAGAGCACAGAGGCCCCACCTGCATGTGTGTGCATGACCTGCTAAGCAGCTGTGGCCAGTGCACAAACACAGAGAATGCCTACCAGCACAACTTCCAGCAGACAGGACAGGATCAGAAAACAGCTCCTGCCCCCCGAGCAGTGGCAGGTGGAATATGTGACCTAACACTACCAGAAATGCCCCAGCAAAGGATCACTTTAACCAAACACCATGAAGAACTGTATTAACACTTCAGAGCAGAAGGAAAATGACAAGTCTCCAGAAACCAATCCTGACATCACAGAAATTCACAGTGTAAATGACAGAGAATTCAAAGTACTTGCCATAAAGAAACTCAGCGAGTTACAAGAAGACTCAGAAAGACAGTTCAATGAGCGCAGGAGTAAAATTAATTAGCAGAAGGAATTCTTCACCAAAGAGATTGAAACTCTAAAAAAAAACAAATGGTGGAGATGAAGAACACAATTAATGAGATAAAAAGCAATCTAGAATCCATGAAATATAGACCTGATGTTATGGAGGATAGAATTAGTGATTTAGAGGAAAGAAATATAGAAATGCTTCAGGTGGAGAATGAAGGAGAACTAAGATTTTTAAAAAATGAAGAAATTCTTCCAGAAATATTCGACTTACTTAGGAAAAGCAACATAAGGATTATAAGTTTTCCAGAGGGAGAAGAAAGGGAGAAAGGAGCAGAGAGCTTGTTCAAACAAATAATAGCTGAGAACTTCCCAAACTGGGGAAGGAACTGGACTTACAAGTACAGGGGCCAGTAGAACCCCTAATTACATCAATGCAAAAAGACCTTCTCCAAGGCGTATACCATTAAAACTGCCAAAAGTCAATGACAGATATTAAAGGCAGCAAGGCAGAAGATAATAACCTACAGGGGAACCCCCATCAGGCTTGCAGCAGATTTCTCAGCAGAAACCTTGCAGGCTAGAAGAGAGCAGAATGATATATTCAAAATACTGAAAGACAGAAACTTCCAGCCAAGAATACTCTATCAAGGGGAACTATACTTCAGATATGATGGGGAAGTAAAAGCTTTCTCAGATAAACAAAAGCTGAGGGACTTCATCACCACTAGGTCTGCCTTACAAGAAACATTGAAAGGAGCCCTCCCATCTGAATCTAAAAAGCAAAGGTTTAAAAAACCTTTAGCAATGAAATAAATAGAATCAGAAAATTGCAGCTTTATATCAGAATAGGTTAGTAAACACTTAATTATAACACAAAAGACAAAGGGAGGGAAAGCATCAAAAATAACTATAAACACGTTAATTTAGTCACAAACTCACAACACAGAAAAGAACAATTTGTAACAATGATAACTCAGAAAGGGAAGAGGAATGGGATGGAACCTGCTTAGGCTAAGAGAGATAAGAGGCTATCAGAAAATGAACTATCTCATCTTTGAGAGTTTTTTGTGTGTGTATGAGGAAGACTGGCCTTGAGCTAACATCTGTTGCCAATCTTCCTCTTTTTGCTGAAGAATATTGGCCCTGAGCTAACATTCATGCCAATCTTCCTCCATTTTATATGTGGAACACGGCCACAGCATGGCCTGATGAGTGGTGTATAGGTCAGTGGCTAGGATCTGAACCTGCAAACCCTGGACCACTGCAGCTGATCAAGTGAACTTGGCCACTACACCACCAGACCAACCCCATGAGATCTTTTATACATACTTCATGTTAACCACTAAACAAAAAGTCAGAGGGAGCTGGCCCGGTAGCCAAGTGGTTAAGTTCACACGCTCCATTTCAGCAGTGCGGGGTTTCGCTGGTTCGGATCCTGGGTGCAGACATGGCCCTGCTCATCAGGCCACACTGAGGTGGCATCCCACATGCTACAACGAAAAGGACCCACAACTGAAATATACGACCACGTACTGGGGGCATTTGGAGAGGAAAAAGCAGGAAAAAAAAAAATGACAACCCTTGTTAGCTCAGGTGCCAATCTTAAAAAAAAAAAATCAGAGCAGAGTCACAAATCCTAAATAAAGAGAAAACTGAGAAAACCCTGACAGAAAACCAGCAAACTGAAATGGCAGTCAGAAATACAAGGGAGGGGGCCGGCCCAGTGGCGCAGTGGTTAAGTGTGCACATTCTGCTTCGGCAGCCCAGGGTTTGCCAGTTCAGATCCCGGGTGCGGACATGGCACTGCTTGGCAAGCCATGCTGTAGCAGGCGTCCCACATATAAAGTGGAGGAAGATGGGCACGGATGTTAGCTCAGGGCCAGTCTTCCTCAGCCCAAAGATGAGCATTGGTGGCAGATGTTAGCTCAGGCTAATCTTCCAAAAAAAAAAAAAAAAATACAAAGGAGAAGAAACAATGGAAACACAGAACAACTGGAAAACAAAATATAAAATGGAAACATTAAGCTCCCATCTGTCAATAATCACTCTAAATGTAAACAGACGGAATTCTCCAATCAAAAGACAAAGAGTGGCTGGATAGATTAAAAAACAAGACTAAACAATATGCTGCCTCCAGGAAACACATCTCAGTTCTAAAGACAAACAGAAGATCAGAGGGAAGAGATGGAAGATGATACTCCAAGCAAAAGGCAAACAAACAAAAGCAGGTGTTGTCATACTTACATCAGACAAAGCAGACTTCAAGAGAAAAAAGACAATCAGAGACAAAGAGGAGCAGTATATAATGATAAAAGGGACATTCCACCAAGAGGACATAACACTTATGAGTATATATGCACCTAACACAGGAGCACCAAAGGATATAAAGCAACTATTAACATAGCTAAAGGAAGAAAGTGACAGCAACACAAGAATAGTAGGGGACCTTAACACCCGACTCACATCAATGGATAGATCATCCAGACAGAAAGTACAAGGAAACAGTGGCCTTAAGTGACATACTAGACCAGATGGACTTAACATATAAACATTCCATCCAAAAACAGCAGAATATACATTCTTCTCAAGTGCACATGGAACATTCGCAAAGATAGATCATATGCTGAGAAACAAGGTAAGCCTCAATAAATTTATGATGATTGATATCATATCAAGGATCTTTTCAGATCACAATGCTATGAAACTAGAAATCAACTACAAGAAAAAGGCTGGGAAAGTCACATATATGTGGAGACCAAACAACATGCTACTGGACAACCATTGGATCAATGAAGATATCAAAGGAGAAATAAAAAAATACCAGTACTATTTTGAATAAGAGTGGCAAGAGTGGGCACCCTCGTCTTCTTCCTCCTCTCAGAGGGATGGCTTTCAGTTTTTCACCCTTAAGTATGATGCTGGCTGTGGGTGTGTCATATATGGCCTTTTTATGTTGAGGTACTTTCCTTCTATACCCATTCAATTGAGAATTTTTATCATAAAAATGGATGTTGGCTTTTGTCAGATGCTTTCTCTGCATCTATTGAGATGATCATGACATTTTTATTCCTCATTTTGTTAACGTGGTGTATCACATTAATTGATTTGTGGATGCTGAACCACCCCTGCATCCCTGGTATAAATCCCACT